CAAACCCTCCACAAGGGAATAAATTATGAAGCAAAACATACTCGAGACAGGTCTCAATCAATTACAAAGTTTATTTTGTTAGGTTAAAAATGTGCCCCTAATACAATCTGAGGAGGTCCTGATGAAACATCCCCAAGGTCGTCAGGGTACAGCTTCGGTTTATACACTTTAGGGAGATGTAAGACATCAATCAGTGCAGGTATGTTGTACATTGGTTTGGTCCAAAAAGATGGGACAACTACAAAAGGCCCATGTGCACTTGCCATGTGGTACTCGGAAGACACCAGCGCACCAGCAGTAAGCTGAACGGAAGGCAGGAAGTACCACAGTGACAGGGACAGGATCCTGTTGGGCCAGGTATGCTTATGCTCTGCCAGTGAGACAGAAAGGGACAGTGAAGGGCCACGGATGCCCTAAGTACTTCTATGCAGCCTACAGAGTTCAGACAAAGGAGGGACCCAGGTAGGAGCAGTCAGAACCAGGAGGGCTTGGGGCACGAGCTAGAACAGGCAAGGACAGCTGACATAGCCCTTTCGGACTTGACAGATGCGCTCATCTGTCAGGTGTTCATGTCCTTGTCGCTGTGGACATCTATGTTGTGGCCACAGAACCACATACTCAATTAGAAGGCCTGAACCCAGTCAACAGTCCTCCTTCCCTACAGATCTTGGGGGAGGTCCACATCCACTTGCCATGGGGTACTCGGACAGTTTGGTGGACCCATCACTGCAGTCCCACTGGGAGGCCAGAGCTGAGCCTAGTGGAGTAACATACTGGCTGAGGCATATTTTAAAATTCTGGCTGGGTGTGGTTGCTCACATCTGTAATCCCAGAACTGTAGGAGGGCAAGCCATGCATATCACTTGAGGTCAGGAGATCGAGAACAGCTTGACCAATATGGTGAAACCCCATTTCTACTAAAAATACAAAAAAAATTTCCCAGGTGCAGTGGCGCATGCCTGTAATCCCAGCTACTTGGGTGGCTAAGGCAGGAGAATCACTTGAACTTGGGAGGCGGAGGTTGTGGTGAGCCAGTATCGTGCCACTGCTCCTGGGTGACAGAGCAAGTATCCATCTCAAATAAATTGATAAAAAAATTGTAGGCTCTTTTGTTGGGAGTTCCAGAATTAGGGAGGAAAGGAGAGTTACAACCCTCCTCCATGGATCCAAGGGGAGACTATCTCATTCCACAGATGACCTCTGGGCCAGGTGTGGTGGCTCACTCCTGTAATTCCAACACTTTGAGAGGATGAGGTGGGCAGATTACGTGAGGTTGGGAGTTCAAGACCAACCTGACCAACATGGAGAAATCCTGTCTCTACTAAAATACAAAGTTAGCCAGGCATGGTGGCACATGCCTGTAATCCCAGCTAGTGGGGAGACTGTGGCAGGAGAATCGCTTGAACCTGGGAGGCGAAGGTTATGGTGAGCCAAGATTGTGCCATTGCATTCCAGCTTGGCAACAGGAGGAACACTCCATCTCAAAAAAAAAAAAATGTCCTCTGTTCACTTGATCCTCCTGGAGCATTTCTAATGCACACAGAGCTGCTACAATCATTGCCATTACTGACCAAGTACCCTGGGTGAAATTCCTTCATTAACCAAATAAACTTGTTCTGAACACCAACTGGACAGTCTAGGGACAGGGGGATGCTTTCAGCTATATCCTTTCCGGCAGATGACCCCCACACTGGTAGGGGTAAGGAGAGCCATGGCAGAATTCAAACCACAGTCCCCTAGAAGCACACAGGAGAGTACCCTACCCTCACCTGAAGAGTGTGTATGTGCAAGGATTTGGTCAGGATAGACTCTTCAGAAGAGGGGAGGTGTGGGGCAGCAGGTACCTTGATTCTGCACAACTTACAGCCCAGAGAGCTGAAGAACAGGAGGAGCCAGATTCCCATCCTCACTCCGTTGATTTCCACACCATATTAGAAGTCTGAACAACTCCACAGCCACTAACAACGCTGCCTCTGCTCTGTTTGCCTCTAGATTCTTCTTATCTGTTAAATAAAGTGAGAATGGAGATGTAATTTAGGGCGGGCGTAGATTGTAAGTGTCTCTGTGATAGGGCAAAGCGCCTCCTGGGGGAGCCCTAGAAGCTAAACTCGACTGTTAGCTGTGAGGCAAGGGACTCTGGGGCAGCTCCTATGGACTGTGTTTGTTAGAACTTTTCAAAGTGGGTATGCCCTGCCAGGGGCCTGGATCTCACACGGGTGGACATGGTGTTGGGACCAGACTGACTGTCCCATCATGGAATAATATCTGCATCTCAGCAAGGGGAACATAAGCAAAGTATGTTGTTGTGAGTTTAAAGAGGCCTGGCTTTGGAGTCTGAAAACCCGCATGTGAGTCCCAAATCCAGCCTCTGCTTCAGCGCCCTGACCTGTTTCAGCTTGGTTCCTTATCTGTTGATGGGGGTTTAATACTTATGTCTCTGGGTCTTTAGGAAATCAATACTGTACATGCATGGCACACAGTAGGTCCTCAACAGCCAGGCTCCAGGAATAGCCATTCACACTCTGCCAGGTTAGGGGCACATTAGCATGGAGGCCAGCGTGCCAGGACAGTGTGAGTCCAGTGTACCCTCCAGCCTGGGGTTCAGGCTTGGGCTGCTGGTGGCAGGACCAAGGCCATTTCCATCTTTTCTTTTACTGTCCACATGTCCAAAGCAGATGCTTCTGTTCATACGCACGTGTGCCATGCTAGGAGCTGACATAACAGGCTGTAGTGAATAAAGCTAAGCCTCACAGTCCACTCTGTGGTAGGAAGGACCAGCTGTGAGGCAGGTCCTCAGCCCACACCATTTCATGCTACTGAACCTGGGGCCACAATTCCAAACTCAATGTTCACACAAAGATGAGTCTACAGGAATAGAGAGATCAATGTTGTGTATCTTTATTGTAATTTATGTTTTTACTGTATATATTTAAGGTATAAAACATGTTATAAACACAGTGAAATAATTGCTATAGTCAGGCAACTGAACATGTCACCTTCCCCACCTTCCTGCATCCTATTCTTTCCATGCAAACGTTTCCCAAAAACCCTACTCTGAGGTGACATTCCAATTGGTTGGCCCATTGGGGAAATTTTGATGAATCCCCATCATATGCTATTTAGTAAAAATAACAAACCCACTAAGTGTGCTTTTTGATCCACATGCTCCTTAGGTAAAGTAGAATTTGCTCTCCTTCACTTGAGAGCTGAAGGTAAGGAGGAATCACGCAGAGGGGGATGGAGCAAGTACAGGCCAGATAGAAGGAAGTGGGGATATGAGGTGGTGGATATGAGAAGGAGAGCGAGAGAGAGAGAGCACACACACTAGAGAGAGAGTACAAGTGTCAGCTGACTGATGAACAGAGAGGGGTCTAGAATGTGAAATACTGAGGTCTGCTACAGAGGATGCATTTGGGATAGCTGAGGCCTGATGTCCCTAATCCTGGAGGCTGGACTTTATCCTAAGGGCAGCAGACAGCCCTAGTAGAATTTGAAAAGGTTTGACATGACCAGATCAGCAGTTAAGAAAGGTGCCTCATGCACTGGGACAGAGAATGTATGGAAGGGGTCAAGACTGGCAGCAAGAGGATGAGCTATGAATTGGTGGTGGTCATCAAGGAGGGAGATGAGGGTGACTGGACAGGGGAACTTCCTGTGGTGATGGAGAAGAGTGAGTGTCAAGATCTCACTTAGAAAGACTTGGGAGGTTGAACTGACCAGGCTTGGTCACTGTGGGAGTGGTGAGAGAGAGGTAGCAATCAAGGATGGCTTTCAAGATCTCTGGCACAAGCTGCTGGGTAGAAGGTGGTGCCTGTTAGTGAGTCAGGCAGCACAGGAGGAGGAGCAGGTGTTCCGAGAGTGGAAGTTGGTGGGTTCACTTTGGGACATGCTGAGTAGTACTTGCTATGAGACTCAACGACATATAACTTGAATGACTTTGTGGAGCTGACCTAACCTCTTTGTGCCTCATCTGTAAAATATTACTTTTTGAAAAACTATAAACTGCTGTTCACGGCAGCTTCTTCCCAGGTTAAAAAGAAAGGTACTATTCGTGCATCTGCCAGGACAGACATTGTTGCATGTCACTTGACTACTGAAATAGGCCACGGTAAAGAAATCTCTGCACACTTTCGTGTTCTGGGAAATCGCTGACCACAAAGGACCAATATTCTCCCTGGGACTTAGATAAGGGTGGCTGACTGTCCACTCTGTGCCATCACTCCCAGATGGTGGATCCCACCACTCCTTGTTCTTTTGTCTCAGGAATGATTCCCTTAAATGGGAAGTCTGTCCTCCTGAAAGTAGGTAGGCACAGACAGAAACATTCCCTGTTCAGCTGGCTGAGACTTCTGCTGATTACAAAAAACCCCAGCCCCATAAATCTCCCCATTAAAACTGGTCTACTCCTTCCTATGAAAGTAAAAGACATTCCCCCCCACCATTTACCCCATAGTGTGATAGTGTGATTTCCACTTCAGGGGCATTCTCCCTATAACAGTAGCCTGAATAATTTCAATGTCTTGGATTGTTGGTTTCTGTCTTTAAAGGGTGCATATACCGCTCATGCAAAAACAGTAAATAACGAAAATGAAACATTAAATAACGGATATGAGACTGTAAATAACGAAAATGAAACAGCGGTGTCCCTTCTCAGGGACACACCCTAGCGCAAAACTCCCAGCCAATCACAGGAGAATCGGCCTCCTCCCATCCTCCAGCCCAGTTCCCTGGTCCCTTGCCCATGAAGTAATGTTTGCCTTCCAATAGCCTTCAGAAACATTCGTCCAGTCCACAAGACGTGCTCCCAAGCGGGCCGCTCCAGGAACACAGAGGCGCACCTCCAGAAGGGGGCAGCCTCCAAGCCTTCTCCCTTCGCAGCGGGCGCAGCTCTCGCACAGACACCGCTAGCTCCCTCTCCCGGCTCCCGGCGACACGCGGCAGCCAATCGAAGGTCCAGTTTTTCGCCAGTGTCGCATCCCTGTGACGTCACCCAACCCCGCCAACGCCGACTCAAGCCCGCCATCGCTTCCTTCCGCGCTACTGCCCTTCTAGCCAGCCGGAGGATGGCTCTTCTCGATGGTCTTAACCTTTCAATTCCAAGCAGGCTGCGCTGGGGCGTGAACGGCGGGAACCCGCTCATGAGCAAGAAGGCGCATGAGAGAGCCCGAGAGAGACTGAGAGCGAGCAAGCGCGCAGGAGAGACTGAGAGCAGGTTGCAGGGCGGGGTGGGAGAGACACTTCCAGAGAGACAGAGCGAGATGCTGAGATCTAGGCTGTCCCCTAGCACAGGCCAGTGTGTCGTGGGACTCGAATCCCTGGGTTGGGGGCGGCCGGGAGTGGGGCTTTCAGAGGAAGTGGGTGGTTTTCACTGTTTTGCTGTCGCCCTTAGCTCCCCGCTGTGGGAATGGCGGTGACGCAGTCTTTGGGTGACGTTGTTCTCTTTCCCTGCTTAGGGATGGCCTTTTTTAGCGGAGAAGGAGAATGCTGAGACTTGCCACGGGCATTGGTAGCTGGAGGGACTACATTTGGGCTATAATCATTTTTCAACAGGTTTAGAAATCACCATGTTCGCCGGGCGTGGTGGCTCACGCCTGTAATCCTAGCACTTTGGGAGGCCGAGGTGGGTGGATCACCTGAGGTCAGGAGTTCAAAACCAGCCTGGCCATCATGGTCAAACCCCATCTTTAAAAAAAAAAAGAAGAAGAAGAAAGAAAGAAATCACTGTGTTCTTGGCATCACCTCCTTCCCCACCTCCTCTTCTCCCGCACAGCAGGAGACACCGTGTCTGGAGGGTTTTCAAGGAAGACTGCGTTGTCCCTATTGAAACAAACTGTCCCACAAGGTTTATTTCAATAGGGTCATGTGACAGAGAGACGTTCAGGATGTGACATATGAGTAGACATGTGTTTAATGGGCACTGTGATTCCTGTATTCATGTGCAGTGAATGGTCCAGGCCATTTGTGTCCAGTAGCTGCACAAGCTGTAGGGTCTCATGTTTAGAGAAGGAGGGCCTCTCTGCCCTCCACCTTGCTGGAGTACAGGCCACCATGGGTGGTAGCCCTCTGTGCCATCAGAAATGTAACGCTCTGAGTACTCATGAATTTCCAGCTGTATCTCCAATGCCATTTCCCTCTACTAAGGTATCCCTGTTGGATGCGTTGGATTTGTATGTGGCTGTGAGAGTGGTTTGGTGTGTTTTGCTCAAAAAAGGAAAGGGGAATGGCCTTGCTTGGCTGGGCTTAACAGGATACTAGCAATGGAGAGAGAAAGGACTTATGTATTCCTTTTTTTTTTGAGACGGAGTCTTGCTCTGTCACCAGGCTGGAGTGCAATGGCGCAATCTCAGCTCACTGCAACCTCCACCTCCTGGGTTCAAGCGATTCTTCCGCCTCAGCCTCCCAAGTAGCTAGGACCACAGGCGCATGGAACCACACCCGGCTAATTTTTTTGTATTTTTAGTAGAGACGGGGTTTCATCGTGTTGGCCAGGATGGTCTCGATCTCTTAACCTTGTGATCCACCCGTGTTGGCCTCCCAAAGTGCTTTGATTACAGGTGTGAGCCACTGCACCAGGCCAAGACTTCTGTATTCTTAGGAGAAGAATTTTAACAACTCCCTGTCAAAGGGGCAGTGTGTCTTACCTGGAACGCTTTGGCATTTAATAAAATGTCCTGTGAATACTTTTCATAGGGAAGCACTGTTTTTACTATTTCTGGTTAGAACCGGTTACATTTCAAATCATAGTTCAGAATTCGTGAAATACCTGAGTTAACTCTACATGGCAGTAATCCATTTCCTTTCCTTAGTGTGTGGTTGAAAGATGAATTCCAGATAAGTGTTCAGTTCCAGGCTGGGCAATCGTGCTTGGCACGGGAAATTTAGGTTCTTTAAGGGAAAGGCCTGATATGCTAAAACAAAATGTATACCTTATTTAGCCGCTTATAAGAATATGAAGATAAAGGGGAGCCACAGGTAAGTATATGCCAGTGAATGCGAATTAAAACAGGTGGCAATATAAAGAGAGATTGGTGTCACAAATAGTGGAGTGACTTCTGTATTTCAGCAGACGTCAGTGAGAAATGGTCACCACCACTCCCTAGATGTGTGACCTTGAGTGAGTTGCTTAATGTATCTGATCCTGTTACCTCATCTGCAACTGGGGCAGATAATATATATCATGCCACACCTTGGGAGAAACTTCCTACCACCTGGGCTATGGTGGTTTTGACTTTCTCTTTGTCAGAAGCCCCCCTTCTGCCCCCCCCCACCACCATGGTTGTCTTTTTGTTTTAATTTGTTTTGTTTTGGGATGGTGACACTGTGTCACCCAGAGCAGACTGCACTGGCCTCAACCTCCTGGGTTCAAGTGATTGTCCCACCTCAGCCTCCCCAGTAGCTGGACCACAGGTGTACAGCATTGTGCCTGGCTGATTTTTTAAACTTTTTGTGGAGATGGTAATCTCACCCTGTTGTTCCGGCTGGTCTCAAACTCCTGGGATCAAGCAGTCCTCCTGCCTCAGCCTCCCAAAGTGCCTGGATTAGAGGTGTGAGCCACCATTTGAGGCTCCTTAGACAGTATTTTATTCCTCAAACTGAGACTAGGCCTTGGGATGGGGCTGCATTGGACAATTCACTGAAGGCACTGCTGAATGAAGTGGGCCCTCAGTAGATACTGCACAAATGTGACCTGGCCAGTGAGGTTATTTTCTTTTGTAGGTGAAAGGTGTAGCACTCACCTGACCGACACCCATAGCATTGACCATATGAACCGAGCGACCTGACTGCCTTGGGTGAGTCTAGGTAAGCTCCTTCCTCATGAGAGGAGACTCGCCCTTTCTCTTACTCTTGCTGCTCTGGACACTCGTCTTCGTCCCTCCCTGGTGCCCCTCCCTGGACTCCCAGTTGTACTCCTGCTGCTTTTCTGTGTACTCCCCTACTGGGAGACCCCTGATGCCAGCACCACACTTCACTGCTGTCTTCATTTTCATTCTCTCTTAAAAGGGGGCATTGCTGGCTTTCTTACTACCTGTTCTTTTGTTACAAAGCTGCTAAGAATTTTATCTCCTTCACTCCAGACCCAGTAGGATAGAGATGATCTGTGTAGACATCAAAAAGAATGTCTGTGAGCCATGTGTAGGACAGACTATTGCATCAGTCTGTGTGGCATTGCCTGGCTAAGAGTCAGACTCCTTTGCCCTGATGTGGCACGAGACTAGAAACACAGTTTTCAACACCCAGAAACCTTGCACAGATCTTAATCATTGTGCAATAGGATTTGCAATCCTTGCTGTAGGATTCTGCCATTTGTAGAAAAAATCCATAGTTAATTGGGATTATTAAATGAAATCTGTGTCTTTAAGCTGCAGTAAATGCACTTTATATACCCTCTGCAGACTGCCATCCATGGGGCTCATCACTGTGACTCAGCGTTTGGTCATCCAACCATGTGGAGATCACTACAATTCCACAAGTGTTCCCTGCCCGCCTTCTGCCTGTGAGGTCAACTATCCCATCCTGAGGACACAGGGATCTACTAGATGTGTTTCCAACCTTTCAGGAGAGACCACGGAGCCTGGTGAGGGAGATACACCTGCAAAGAGAACTTCAGTGCAGTAACAGCAACGGTCATAGCCGGTGTGTTCACGAACTCATGAGAGATCACACTACCAGCATCTCCCGCTTGATTTCCCCAACAACAAACGGCTTATCCTGGAAATGATCCCTTTGGTAGGTAAGTTGGATTCCCCTTACTGTTTCCCCCAGGCATGCAGAGCTACAAAGCAAATTGACACTGGTATGTTGTGTCAGAGTGGAATCCAAGAATGGAATGCCCTGCAAGTGATGTGATTTCTAAAGCAGTCAATAAATCTTTGTAAGTTTCTGGGTGAAGCAACACACAATCCTCCCTCAGTTCACAGGGAAGTGATGTGTATGGAAAGAAATCCAGTTTACTTAGGACTCTGGAAAAAGTTGTTTGCCTCCCTGTAACCTTCACCCCACAAATGCCAGGAGCCACTTCTAGTTATTTGAACATCCAAAGCTGCCGTTGGAAATGTCTAGAATGCCCCAAAGTGCGTGATGATATTCTGATTATAAACCACAAGTTTAGGATTTAAAAGAAGTATCCTAGAACTTCTTAATTACATCAAAAGGATAGGAACGTTGCAGTCTGTACAGAGGAAACAGCACGGTAACATGGGGAAGGACACAATGTTCCCCAGGAGGGGTTGTGGGAACCTTGTTCCTCTGTGTTACTTTCGGTGATAAGAAAATGTTTCAAGGCCAGCTGTGGTGGGTGGTGAAGCTTCATGTCAAAGGGCAGCCACTGCCATAGGACACTGATGCTCAGGATGGTTCTGTGGTGGTCATGACTCTGGGATCCTGGGACGGATGTCCTCCTTGGTGAGCACAGCCCTCTCCAGGCTGGGACAAAGGAGGAAGGGGCCAGGCTAGGTTGTCAGGCTGCCAGGGACAGCTGTCTGCTGTGAGAGAAGGAGAAGGACAGCTGAAGGGAGGAGAGGGGAGTCGAACTCCTCAGGTGAGGGGCAGATGTCTGTTAGTGAAGGGAAGACATTGGCCCTAAGTCCTGTCATTGCTCTAGGCTCCTGTGGAAGGAAATGACAGTGTAAGAAAGAAACCAAGGCTGGTGGGAGGGGGACAGTAGCTTGCATCTCCTCCCGTCCTGTGTGTTCAATGGTCCCTGAGAGGAGCCCATGCCATTTTTGGGATCTAAAAGGTCATTTCCTGGCACCCCTTCATTCACTGCCCATGAAGAGAAGGGATTCGAGATAAACTGAGGCCTTCAAGGAGAAAGGCCAGACAGAGTTGTGAGGCCTTCTCAAAAGTCCCTCTGCCCTACCCTTATGGTGAGTCTCACACTGAGTTCATCATGTCCTGTGTTCCTGTGTACTCTAAGGTCACTCTTCTCAACCTCATGTCTCTCCTGGGAAGAGACAGCCAGCCTTGCTACCAAAGGGATTTAATAAGCTTTCTGAAAGTTCCTTAGGCTGAGCAGCAAATTTCCAGATCCTAGGACACCATTGTGGCCACACTACATGAGATTCACTGGGTGTGATCCTGGAGTCTGCACTTTTTTTTTTGAGACAGAGTTTTGCTCTGTGCCCAGGATGGAGTGCATTGGCATGATCTCGGCTCGCTGCAACCTCCGCCTCCCCGGTTCAAGCAATTCTCTTGCCTCAGCGTCCCAAGTAGCTGGGAATACAGGCACATGCCACCATGCCCAGCTAATTTTGTATTTTTAGAAGAGATGGGATTTCTCCATGTTTGTCAGGCTGGTCTCAAACTCGCGACTACAGAAGATCTGCCCGCCTCAGCCTCTGGAAGTGCTAGGATTACAGGCTTGAGCCACCGTGCCCGGCCTTGGAATCTGCACTTTTAAGATCCTAAGTTCTAACTTTCATGGAAACATGTCTGAGCAATACTAGAGCAGGGGAATAGTCTCCTTTCCCAGTTACACAGCTTCTTTCTCCTTTGTGAAGGTATAGCAGGGACAGGTTCGTGTGTTCTCTGATGTACAAACCCAAGACCTTCAGGCGAGGAGACCGACGCTGACATGCTGCCTGTTATGGTAATGACACACTCAGGGCACCGTCTCCAAATGATACCCAGACCAATCCTCTCAAGTCTCCATCTCTTAAAGATTTGTGAAGAAATCAAATATCTATTGTCTGTGAAGTCCCATGCTGTAAAATGCTAAATATTTTGCAGTGGTCTTTGGAACTTACCCTTGGTTGCACAGTGGAGTTTTCATGATGCCTGTGGCCCTTGGCTCCACCACTCACTGCTGGGTGATGTGGAGAAAGTTCCTTAACATCTCTGTGCCTTCTTTCTCCATTAGTACCACGGAAATACTACTAGTAACGTTGTCTACTTCTTGGGGCAGTTTAGAGCACTGACTGTGTGAAGACATGTACAGTTGTCTGGACAGTCCCTGGCATACGGTAAGTTTCCAATCAATTCTAAGCTGTTTTTGTTGCTGTTCCCTCGTTTCCCTGGAGCATGTTCTGGAGAGACAAATGTCAAGTCTACCTTTGACCCCTTGAATGATGTGTAGATTGTCTCTTCAGCTCTTCAGGGACTCAAGGTCTGAGTCTGTGGGGCGGGTGGGGGGGGGAAAGGCATATTTTATTAGCATAATGAATATTCAGCTCTCCCTATGGGACATTTTGGAGCCTAAATACAATACTGGGGTTTCATCCTCATGAGCTTGTATGGAAAATTTGAATGGAAATTCCTCTAGGAAATTAGAACTCTAGTGACCTCTCCCTGTGACTTGTATAATGCTTGGACAAGTAAGTGGGCATTGGATAATCATAGCACAAAGCATATAAATTTTTAGAAACATTTTAAAGAGTGAAATTTAAAGGCCAAAAATTATTATCATGTAGATTGTTCTATTGCTATTAGTTCTATTAAGTCCAACTCTCCTCCATCAAATTGTGAAGATCTGAATCCGATGGAGATACGAAGCTGTTAGCAGTTAATTTTCATCAGTGGCATTTTATTTTTTGTATACTGTTCACCTCGTCTGTTATATCTTGTGTTGATTACTTCTACCATTAATATTCGTTGTCGGCTAGGCATGATGGCTCACACCTGTAATCCCAGAATCTTGGGTGGCCAAAGCAGGATTGCCTGAACCCAGGGGTTTGAGACCAGCCTGGGCAACATGGTGAGACCTTGTCTCTACAAGAATAAAAAAGTAAGCTGGGCATGGTGGCTCATGGTTGTATCCCAGCTACTCAGGAGTCTGAGGTGGGAGGATTACTTGAGCCCAGGAAGTCAGGGCTGCAGTGAGAAATGAATGCACCACTACACTCTAGCCTGGGCAGTGGGAGTGAGACCCTGTCTCAGAAAAGTAAATTCATTTTCATCTAATGAAAGACTGATGGTACTAATATTTTCTGAGCTACATCATGAGAAGTTGGTATCAGTTTATTCAGATCCAGAGTGAGAAGAAACGGGCAATGGGGAAAGAGAGTGGAGTGTGGAGGGCAGGTGAAGGTGTGCGGGAGCGGGGAGAGGGGTCTGGGGCAGACGGGGCGAGGAATAATGGGGAAGAGCAGAAAGCAGAAGTTCAGAGATGTGAGAATAAAAGCTCACGCTTCTGGATACTTGCTATGGGCCAGATGATTTTAGTGCACTCTGCTCCCACGCTTTCTCTCTCTCTCTCTCTCATTCTCTCTCTCTCTCTCTCTCTCTCTCTCTCTCTCTCTCTCTCTTCATTTACATACATTTATTCATCTTAGGCTATATATATATATGACTATATTTTTAAATTATATGTATGTATATCTAATAACAGTCATTTAGTGCTCATGGCAACACTGTCAGGTGTGTGTTCCTAATGTTACTCTCCCTTATGACAGAAAACGAACTGTGATACATAGCTTAAGAGACTAAAGAACTTGCCCAAAGTCACGTCGCCAGCAAGGGCAGAGTCAGATTGGTACCCAAGTTGGAGAGGGGCATATAGACATACCCAATCTGACCCTGACACTCTAGAATGCACTGCAGTATGGAATGGTAGTCCAGATCAGAAGACAGGTGAAAGCATCCAGCAGCATTTGAGATGACATTATCTGTGTGTGGATTGAACATGAGGTCTCTTGAGTGCGTTTGATAATACAGGGTGGTGCGTCATTAGCAGGAAAGCACAAAGATGGCCTCTGGTGCATATCAAGCTTTCTGTATGTGTTTCCTACCATGGATGTTAGCAGTGACATCCCTGTCACTGTCATTATGGGAAACAGCTTTGGTATAATATTAAACAAAACAGCAGATGCAGTATTATAAACACACTACTTATTCTCCAATTGTATATATTTTTTTTAAGTGCATAGAAAAAAGCCTGTAAGGGAATGCACCACATATGAAGTGTTGTTGTCTACGTGGGAAACTCTCGATCATTTTGAAATAACATTCCTTTCACGGTTTTACTTGCATTTTCTTTGTTATTATTACTCAGCCACTGTTTCTACAATAATTTCATTTTTTGGTGACGTGATCTGTTGCACAGGCTTCAGTGCAGTGGCACGATCTCAGCTCACTGTAGCCTTCGCTTTTTGGGTTTAAGCAATTCTCCTGCCTCAGCCTCTTAAGTAGCTGGGATTGCAGCTGTTCACACCCCCGTCTGGCTAATATTTGTATTTTTAGTAGAAACAGGGTTTCACCATGTTGGCCAGGCTGGTCTCAAACTCCTGACCTTGTGGTCTGCCTGCCTCGGCCTCCCGAAGCGCTGGGATTACAGGTATGAGCCACTGTGCTCGGCCAATAATTTTTAAAATAGATGTTCTGAAGACTCATTCTTTGAGGTGTATTGAGGATTAGGGGTAAAATGTGTTTTGATATCCTTATCAGGAGGAAAACCAGTCAAAGACCCTCAGCAGCAGCATTTAAAGCAGAAGAAAGGTTTGCGGTAGGGTAGAAAGGGCAGTGAGGGAGCAGAGTAGTGCAGATGGAAGGTTAGCTGAAGACCCCAGGCACCCTGAGAATGCCACTGTCGGTACATGTCAAAATAAACCAAACACCCGCATGTCCGTAAGAGGAGGCTGCTGCGCTATCGAGATGGAGATCTTTATGAAGTCTCCTTAGACCTTTCCCTCTCCTTCTGCTCCTTGTGTTGTTGCTATAGTTATTTTAAATATAACACAATCCTTCAGATTCAGGGTACAAGACACCAGTATGCAAAAATCAATTGTTTTCTTCTTTATTTTATAAATGGGCATAAGAATTGTACATATATATGGGCAAGTAGTGATATTTTCATACAGATAATGTATAGTGATCAAAGTAGAGTAATTAGCATGTGGATTGTCTCAAACATTCATCATTTCTTTGTGCTAGGAATATTCAATGTCCTCCTAGCTATTTCAAACTATATAATATATTAATTATTTATTTTTTCAAGACCGAGTCTTGCTCTGTCACCCAGGTTGGAGTGCAGTGGCACGATCTCAGCTCACTGTAACCTCTGCTTCCCAGGCTCAAATGATTCTCCTCCCTCAGACTCCTGAGTAGCTGGGATTACAGGCAACCACCACCATGCCTGGCTAGTTTTTGTATTTTAGTAGAGACAAGATTTCGCCATGTTGGCCAGGCTGGTCTCAAACTCCTGACCTCAGATGATCCGCTCACCTCGGTCTCCCAAAGTGCTGAGATTACAGGTGTGAGTCACCACGCCCAGCCTACATATTATTGTTAATTATAGTCATTCTACAATGCTATGGAATGCTCTGACTTACTTCTCCTATCAAGCTGCAATTTTGAATCCTTTAACAGATCTGTCCCTATCCCCACCACCCCTTACTCTTTCCAGCTTCTAGTATCCTCTGTTTTGCTTTATATATATATAGATAGATATACACTTTAATTTCTAGGATAAATGTGCAGAACGTACACGTTTGTTACATAGGTATATACGTGCCACAGTGGTTTGCTGCACTCATCAACCCATCATCTATATTAGGTATTTGCTATAATGCTATCCCTCCCCTATACCCCCACCCCTCAACAGACCTCAGCATGTAACATTCCCCTCCATGTGTCCATGCGTTCTCATTGTTCAACTCTCACAAATGAGAACATGTGGTGTTTGGTTTTCTGTTCCCGTGTTAGATTGCTGATAGTGATAGTTTCCAGCTTCATCCATGTCCCTGCAAAAAACATGAACTCATTCTTTCTTATGGTTGCACAGTATTCCATGGTATATATATGCCACATTTTTTTTATGAAGGTTATCATTGATGGGCATTTGGGTTTGTTCCAAGTCTTTGCTATTGGGACAATAAACACATTTCTATGAGATCAGCATTTTTTACCTTTCAAATATGAGTGACAAGGTGTGGTGTTTAAGTTTCTGTTCCTGGCTTATTTCACTTAACATAAAGCCCTCAACTTCCACCCAGGATTGCCGAGAATGACAAAATTTCCTTCTTTTTTAGCGCTGAAACGTATTCCATTGTGTACATGTACCACATTTTTTTCATCCATTCATCTAGGCTGATTGCATAGCGTGGCTATTGTGCATACTGCTGTAATCAGTGTGGGAGTGGAGATGTCTCTCTGACATGGCTGATTTCCTTTCTTTTGAATAATGCCCTGTAGTGGGATTGCTGGATCATATGGTGGTTCTATTGTAGTTTTTGGACAGACTTCCCTATCTGTTCTCCCTGGTGTCTCACTAGTTTGAATTCTCACCAATAGGGTATGACAGTTGCCTTTTCTCTGCATTCTTGCCAGCATTTGTTATTTTTTGTCTTTTTGACAATGGGCATTCGAACTTGGTGAGATGATAACTTATTGCGGTTTTACTATTTCTTTTCTTTTCTGGAGACAGGGCCTCACTATATTGCCCAGGCTGGTCTTGAAATCCTGAGCTCAAGCATTCCTCCTCCCTTGGCTTCCTAAGTAGCTGGGACTACAGGCCTGCTCCATCTCAGCCAGCTATCACTGTGGTTTTGATTTGCAGTTCACTGATGACTAGTGATGTTGAGCTTTTTTATATATATTTCTTGGCCATTTGTATGACTTCCATTGAGAAATGTCTATTCAGATCGTTTCCCTTTTTGAACTTAGATGGTATTTTTGCTGTTGAGATGTTCGACTTCTTTGTATATTATGGATATTAATATTCTGTCTAATGAATAGTTTGCAATCTTTTCAATCTTTCATAAATAAGTAAATATGGGATTTTCTTTTAAAATTTTTTTTCGAGACAGGATCTTGCTCTGTCACCCGGGTTGGAGTGCAGTGGTGCAATCAGGGCTCACTGCAGCCTAAACCTCCTGGGCCCAACCCTTCCTCCCACCTCAGCCTCCTGAGTACCAGGGACTCCAGGTGCTCCCAGTTAATTTTGAATTTTTTTGTAGAGAGAGGGTCTCGCTGTGTTGCCCAGAGTGGTCTCCAACTCCTGGCCTCAACTGATCCTCCCACTTCAGCCTCTAAAAAGCTGGGATTACAGGACTGAGCCATTGTGCCCAGCTTGAATGTGGGATTTTAGGCATTAAGCAGGGACAGCTGTTTGGGTGAGTGTAATTAAGGAGCTGGGTTCTTCAGTCAGAGAGCATCCCACCAGGCATTCACTAAGCCCAGACCGTGTTCAGAGCGCTGGAGGAAATGCTGGAAATGCGACACTGGGCTCCTGTGGTCCTACGGCAGTGCACGTCCACCAGGGAATCAGAGATGGCCACTGAGTATGTCCCCAGGAGCATCAGGCCCACCGGCCAGGCCCACCTGGGACTCAGTCCCTGAATTCCACAGCCTAACAGCTGTTTTCACCCATGAGCAAATAGTTCTGCCTTAGGGCTGGTCTAGAAGAGATGGGGCAGGGGGATGTCTATTCTCCTTCCCTTTGGACAAAGCCCTGCAGCAAGCATGGATGCCCTCATGTTACGTCTCCTATAAAGCAGAATCAGGCATTGAGAAGAGGGGGATGGGGCTCTCGTGACGTAGGGATGATGGTTGGCTGGAGACAGCAGCGCCCCTGAGTGTCAGCTCTTGGTCTGTGCCACAGAGCCTCAGCACAGCATGGCCAGCTGCTTCAGCCTCCATCCACTTGAGCTGCCTCTGCTTCACTCCCTTGCAAAGGATCTGCAGGTGTGCCTCTGTTCCGGGCCATAGAGGGCACAGGGAAGCCAGGTGTCCGCTATGCCTCCTGAGTGCACTTGCCCAGGAGGCTAAAGCAGAGTTGTTCAGGGCAGATGAAGAGGATATGGACAAGCAATCCCAGGGCTGGGGGAGGCTTCCAGCACTGTCATAAGCAGCACAGACCCATGCTCTTATTCCATCGGGGCACAGGCACCCCTTCCCCACACGGGACAGTGGCCCCTCAGCAGAAGGGCAGCTGGGGCCTTAGGGGCACAGGGTTTCCACTCCATGATGGCATGAACCCTCCAAACCTAGAATGGACCCCCATTTTGATGGGGAAAGGGCTCCACTATGTGTGCAGGGCTGCTCCGGCCCTCCTGAGTGTGGTCTAGTCCCAGAAACAGCCTCTGAGGCAGAACCTGGGGTCTCCCTTCACCTGGAAAACAATAGGTTACTCGGCTGCCTGGGCCTGGGTCCTGAGATCAAGGGTAACTCCGTAAGGACAGAATCTGCCCAGAAATGCTCTCCCTAATCCTCATTCCTTTCCCCACCTCATTACTACCTTTGACTCTGTTTCTGTTTCCCTCTGTCTCTGTGTCTGCCTCAAGAGGGTGGGTGATCTCTTGCTGTGACTGCATCTGACACGTGTCCTGTACCAAGTGACTTTTTAGGTGTCTCCATTGCAAGATGTCATTCTGCTGAGCTCTTTCAGGCTCTGTGTCCAGATTCTGAGGTCTCTGACCAATTTGGAGGGCAGTGTCCCAGGTCGGCAGTTCTCTGAGCTGTGGAGGGCTTGTGTCCAGGGTGACAGTCCTCTGGGCTGGTTAGGGTTTTCTCCCAGCGTGTGAGGTGTCTGATCTGCTTTAGGTGTTGTGTGTAGAATGCAAGGCGTGGGAGCAGTTCTGGATTTCAGGAAGGAGGGTTTGAGCTCTCCGGAGTGTCTGTGTCAGGATGGGACACAGTAGCGCCCCCTGGGCTCCATATCCTAGGTTGTGAGAACACTGAGGTTATTCCAAACTCACAAAAGATGTCTGATCTGTTTGGGGTCTTGTGTCCTAAGTGTGTCCTCTCTGGTTATGAGTCGCACCCAAGGGGTTGAGGCTGCTGACATGTTCATGAGTTGCTGTGTCTCAGGTTGTAAACTCTCTGCTGTATGGGAATGGCGTGTCCCACACTCGAAGGTCTCCCAGGCGTTTCTTGCAGGTCACATTGTGCCCACGGCCTCTGTGTTCCCTGTCCTGGTCCCCTCAAGTGTTTCTGTGTCTACATCTCAGGGTGGAAGCACTATGGTTTTGTGGGCTCCTGAGTCTGTGGTGTAAGGTCTCTGAGGTAATTGGGTTTCTACATAGCA